GCGCTCCATAACAAACATAGATATGAATATTTCGCTATACATATACCAAAAAAATAATTGTATAATTCGTTATACATATACAAAGAAACCAATTGTATAATTTGCTATACATATACAAAAGAAAGCAGTTGTATACAAATCAATTGTATAATTTGTGCATGTATAAAACGAGAAAGAGAGAAAGACAAAAGAAAATTAGGCAGGGGAATATTTGTATTGTATAATTATAAGTGTATAAGACGAAGGTATATGTATTTGCATGTGCGTATACAATTTTCTCTCGCTTTATACAAACAGAAACACAATTTATACATTTCGTTTCTGTTTGTATAAGTGATAGAAGCGAGAAAGGCAAGCGAGATCTGGGAGAGGCGAGAGAGGAGAGAGGAGAATGAAAATATATGTATATGTACAATCTTTTTCCTCGCTTTATACAAACACAAACACATTTTATACGTTTATTTTTTGTATAAAAGCGAGAGGGAGCGAGTGAGCGATGGAGCGAGAGAGGGAGACCGGTGAGTGAGAGTTTGAGGGAGAGAGGTGACTAATAAACAGTTTGCTACAGGACACAATTAAATCAAAGTGTGGTTATAACATTTAATTTGATTTATTAGTTTGTCATTCAATACAATTTTTCCTTTTTAATACTTATATTTTTTAAAAAACTACTATTGAAATATAATATTAATAATATTTATTTGATATTCATAAGTCAGTAATTAATTGATAAAAAATAAACATGTAATGCTTATATCAAGGGATTAATAATTAATGCAAGAGTGAGTAAAGAAAGCTAAAAATTGACTATGAAAATGAGTGAATTTAAATTAATAAAGAATAGTAAATAAATAAGAATGAATGGAGAGAAAAATTAAATCCCTTTACATATTAATGAAACAGACAAAAGAAAGGAAAAGAAAAGAAAAATTAATGAAAAAGACAAAAGAAAAAAGGGGCAAGCAAAAATATAGGTGTTGGCAGTGACGCTCAAACTCGAGTCCAGTGTGTGACAAACCATCTCCTTCGCCAATTAAATTGTTCAACAATTCAATTATTGAGTGGCAAAGTATGGTGACAACCTTATCTGTCCACGTAATTTACCCCTGCTCCTTGACCTATGGTACCTTTAAGATATCTGACTACCCTAGTTACAGCTTCCTAACGAGACTGTTTTAATGATCGCATGAATTGTCTAAGATTTTGAATTGCATAACTAATGTCAGGTCTAATAATAGAAACACACATGAGTTCATCCATAATCCTTTGATAAGAACTAGTATCACTTCAGGTAAGACCAGTGGATTGATCATGTTCTAAGGTAGTTAACTTCAAGCTAGATTGCTAAGGAGTGGCTTCTTGTCTTGTACCACTGAATCCATACAAAAAACTAGCATACTATAAGAGCTATGAACTCATAAAATATACAATTGATAAAGCGTATAGTTTAGAATTTATAATAAATTCAGCTGATGGTCCTTAGTATAATCCAATTTATGTAGTACTTTTTTTATATACTAATTTCTTTTTAGCATTACACCAACCCGCATGTACCTTATAAATGATGAAGTGTCAATATATAAAATTCAACATCTACTAGATACATGAGAAATATTTGATTATATCAATTGGTGTACAATACTAATAAAACTTAAAAATTCACTTTTTGCAATGGTAGTAAAGTACAACTCAAATCACCACACCTAATCATAATATCTGACCTTTTATATAAAAAAGAAGGCAATCTTTGTTTTAACTCCCTCATCATTGACTTCATTTTATATTCAATTTAAAATAACTACAATGTCTCAAGCACTAAAATTATCCAATGCAAAATAATTATTGTTCCATTTAAGTAAACGAGGAATGGGTTGCCTTTTATTATGTTGTCGTTCCATCTAAATAATGAAAAAAGAACCTAAAGACTTTATGGACATCCTTTTTCTTATAAAAAAGAAGATAATCTTTGTTTTAACTCCCACATTATTGACTTTATTTTTTATATAATTTTAAATAACTAAAATGTCTCAAGCATCTCAAACATCCAATGCAAAAAATTTATTACTCCATCTAAGAAAATGAGGAATGTGTTGTCTTTTGTTATGTGTCTTCCGTTATATTATCACTCCATCTAAGTAAACAAGGAATGTGCAAAAGTGAATCTAAGGACTTAACATACTTTTCAAGATGAGGAAAAAGTCTCATATATCCATGTAACATCTCATAAATTGTAATATCCAAGAATAAGATAAGAAACTAAAATTTATTATTTTTTGGAAAGAATAGGAAAATTTCTAAGTTAAGAAAGTGAATATTGGTGATTCTTAAAAGATCATAACTTCTAGCTCGGGATGAGTCAGAGTCGGTTCTTTATATGGTCGGAAAGCCCTAAGGAAGATCTTTTCAACTGCGCCAGTTTGCACGATTTCGATATCGTATGAGGGAGATATGCCTTTCGTAAGTTGGGTTGTTAAATTGAGGAAAGTTCAATCCGGATTTTAGTAAGGGTAAAGTAGTCTTTCCACCCAACTATTTCTAATCTATTTTAAATGTTTATTAGGGGTAAAACTAAGTCTTAAGTAAGTTTTAGAAAATTTATTTACGCATGGGGCTTGGGAGAAAAGAGAAAAGAAGAAGGAGAACAAATGTCAAAAAAGTTAGGGCTTCACAAGTGCAATTTGTAGGAGGTGATCCCTATCAAGGTGTGTGAGATCAACCTGTGTTGGGTTAGTTCACCCACACACCAACTTGATTAATTCAGCGAATTAAAAGTAGATTGAATGATGAACATTGAAGTTCTTGAAGAATACTGGTTGAATTCTTGTTGGTTGAGTTGTAGTATGTTTTTAGTTGATTTGATTTGTGTTTTTGGGTTGTTTTTCGAGTCAAATCTATTGGGTATAGAGGATATTAATGATCCTAAGTGTTTAGGAAAAAATCCATGGAAGTTTAGAGGGTTTAGATATGAAAAACGTAGAAAAAAGGTCAGAATGCCTGTCTGACAGGCCCTGGGGCGCCGCGCCAGCCAAAGCCCCTTAAGACTGTCTCTTTTTGTCAAGATTTGACACTCCACGCCTCTCAGAGTTCCAAGGACACCTAAAGGCATCGTTTTTTCCCCATCTTTTCATACTAGTTCTGAAGCGATGTACCCACGTTTTTTTAGTTGATTCCAACACTCTAAGGTATATCTAAACATCATAAAATCATCCATAAACATGAGATCACGAACCTTCAATCTATAATTCAATTCAAGGAAAATTAGGGTCAAAGTCAAAGAAGCTAAGAGTCAAGTCTAAAAGTTAAAAAGCAAGTCAAAGTAAAGTTCTTAAAGTTTCAAGAGTCTGATTTACAAATTTTAACTTTTTTTTAAGACTCAAATTTCAAGCTAAGTAAAGAGTTAAGTTGATGTTTTTTTTTCCAGAGGTATAGGGGGACTAAGTATTCCCAAGGGGACTTCAAACTATTTTTTTTTTTAACATTTAAGCAAGTCAGGAATTTTTGATTTCCAAGGAGCCTTAGGGTGAGTTTTCAGAAAAGGACTAGCTTTGTAAAAGAAGCAAGTAGAGAAACTAAGATTTCCAAGATAGCTTTGAGCTAAGTGTCTTGAGCAGTAATCTCAAACTACAGAATCAGTATGTTTTTGAAAAATAAGAGTAAACATATTTTTGGGAGTAGTATGGAGCACCGATACGGGGAAGAGTTCAGACAACTTACAGCCCCTATAAACCATGTAGCCACCATGGGTAGAAAAAGGTCATACTTTTTAGATGAACCCTTTTCGTAGTAGACTAGTGGATCCATTAGGAAGTTCAGGTCTTATACCTTTCGCTGGGTATACAATGCGCTGGCAACGTGAGGTAGATCATTGTATCATCACTGTAGCTCTTAAATGATTGTTGTTGGTTAGAGAACTCTTAGAAAAGTTTTTTGTATCCTTATATAAATCAGTTTATTTGTATTTTTATATACATCTTAGTTGTTCAAGAGTTGACCAGAGCCAAGGTAAGTGTTCTTTCTTACTCCTTATCAAGATTAAGTGTTGTTAGCATTCCAACTCGCATACTCGTACATTCAATATACTGATGTCAGTTGGCCTGCATCGTATTATGATAAAGACATAGGTAACTAGGGTCAGCATTCGGCGTACCGTTGATTCAGTGAGCAGCTCAGAGTCAGTTGGCGAGCCCCTTTCATCCTGGAAAATAACTTTATCATTTAGTTTATTGTTTTTAGCTTTTAATTGTTAGGATGATTGGGGATGTTGTCCCAACCTCCATCTTTACTTTAGAGGCTTCATCGAAAGATAATATTAGTTTCTTTGGTCTTTCATTAGACTTGTAAATGATAAGACTTGAAGTTGTCATTTTGGCTAAGTGTTATTTTTAAGCCATTACATTTATCTTGTTTTTAAGTCTTTCGTTGAGTTAAGTGAGCCAGGACAAGGGTTCACTCGATGCCAACAATGGCCATTGGGTGCAAGCAACGTCCAGGGCGTAGGCTCGGAGCGTAAAAAAATTGGTACCAAAGCATAGAGTTCAAAAGTCCTAGAGAGTTATGAAGTTGTGTCTATAGAGTCTTAATCATCGCTGTGAAGCGCGCCTCATCTATGATTAGGAGTCTACAACTTTAGGAAATTTCTCACTTCTTTCATACTCATTTAGTGCGTTAGAGTTTATCTATAAAAAGCTTCCTTCTAATTCGTATCTGCGCTTGTTTTCAGAGAATTATATCTCCACGAAGAGCAGTCAGAGGTCACCCAGTTAGGAGGAATGTTGGAGAACAAGAGTTGTTAAATGCACAAGAAGTGCAACCTCAAGAAGAAATTACCTATGCTGAATTTTGTGAGACTATCCAGATATTATCGCAAGTTGTAAATCATCAAGTTTGACAGAGAGGAGTACAGGAACGAAAAAGCTAAGATTGGGAAAGAGTCTGTGCAACAAAAACGTGGATTGAATCGGCCACAATTTCATAAACAAAAGCGGCATGCACAATCATCTATGAGTGAACCTGTACCCAAAGACAGAGTAGAGCATCATGGTCAGAACTCCCGAGCTAAGCTTGCATATTCTCAGCGTAGTGTGGTACATGGAGGTAGTAAGCCTCCTGCCTGCACCAAGTATGGTAGAAATCACTCCGGTGTTTGTCGTAAAGGCTTCACGGGTTGCTTCAAGTGTGGTGAGACTAGGAATTTCATGAGGAAGTGTCCAAATAAAAAGCAAGGCAGTAGTAATGAGGGAAACAAATCTCAATCTTCATCAATTGCTCCACCAGACAGGGTTGCACCTAGGGGAGCTACTTCTAGTGCTGGTGGAGGAACAAACCGCTTGTATTCTCTCAACAATCGCCAAGAACATGAGAATTCTCCAGACATTATCACTGACATGATTCAAGTCTTTGACTTTAGTGTTTATGCATTGAGACCCAGAAGCAACTTTATATTTTATAACTCCATATGTTGCCATGAACTTTTATGTTATTTCTGAGAAACATAGTGAACCATTCACAGTTTCTACCCCTGCTGGAGAGTCTATTATAGCAGAAAGAGTCTATCGTGATTGTCATACTTCTATCAATAACAAGAACATCATGGATGATCTAGTAGAGTTAGACATGGAGATTTTGATGTCATGTTAGGTATAGACTGGCTCCATGCCTGTTATGCATCAATAGACTGTAGAACTCGAGTCGTCAAGTTTCATATTCTTAATGAGCCAATTATAGAGTGGAATAGTAGTTCAGCAGTGCCTAAGTACCTTAAGGTGAGAAAGTTAGTTTCAAAGGGTTGTATCTATCACTTAGTCTGAGTTAATGACTCAAGTGCTGCCTTCTCTACAGTCAGTTCCAATAGTAAAAGGGTTCCAGGAAGTTTTTCCTGATGATCTATCTAGAGTTCCTCCTGAGAGATAAATAGACTTGGGCATAGATATCATCGCAGATACTATTCCTGTCTCTATTCCGCCATTTATAATAGCACCAACAGAGTTAATAGGGTTGAAAGAACAGCTGAAACACCTGTTAGATTAAGGTTTTATCCAACCAAGTGTTTCTCCTTAGGGCTCTCCGGTCTTGTTTGTGACAAAGAATGATGGTTCTCATAGGATGTGTATAGATTATTTCCAACTAAATAAGGTTATCATCAAGAATAAGTATCTTCTTACAAGGACAGATGATCTTTCGACCAGCTTCAGGGTGTTTCCTGTTTCTCAAAAATTGATCTCAGATCAGTCTGCCATCAGCGGAAAGTTAGGAAATGTGATATTCCTAAGACAACTTTTAGAACCAGATATGTCATCATGATTTTTTCGTCATGTCCTTTAGTTTGACCAATGCGCTTGCAATATTAATGGATCATGAATAGAGTCTTTAAACCTTATTTAGATATCTTTGTTATCGTCTTCATTGATAAAAAAAACTAATTTATTTAAGGAATAAAAAATATCATGCTAGTCATCTCAGGATAGTTCTTCAGACTTTGATATATAAAGAGTTATATGCCAAGTTCTCCAAGTGTGATTTTTGGCTTTAGTCGGTGGCATTCTTGGGCCACATAATTTCCAGTGATGGGATTAGCGTAGATACCTAAAAGATAGAAGCATTTCTAAGTTTTCCTAGACCCACCTCTCCAATAGATATACAAAGTTTCTTGGGTTTGGCTGGATACTATAGAAGTTTTGTTGAGGGGTTTTCGTCTATCTCATCTCCCTTAACTAATCTAACCTAAAAGACAATTAAGTTTCAATGGTTTGAAGCTTGTGAGAAAAGCTTTCAGGAGTTGAAAAAAGGTTGACTCTGACTCTGGTTTTAACCTTACCAGAGGGTACTCAAGGCTTTCTGTTGTACTCTGATGCATCAAGAGTTGGTTTGGACTGTGTGGTAATGGAAAATATCAAAGTTATAGCTTATGCCTCTAGATAATTGAAAATTCATTAGAAGAATTATCCAACCCATGATTTAGAGTTGGTCTCTTTAGTATTCTCCTTGAAGATACGGTGTCACTACTTGTATAATGTTCATGTTGATATATTCAGTGATTACAAGAGCCTACAATATGTGTTCACCCAGAAAGAGCTCAGTCTCAAACAAAAGAGGTGTTTAGAAATACTAAAGGATTATGATATGAGTATTCTTTACCATCCAGGTAAGGCTAATGTGGTTGCTGATGCTTTAAGCAAGTTATCCATGGGGAGTACCGCCTATGTTGAGGAAGAAAAAAGGGAGGTAGGCAAAGATGTGCACAGACTTGCACACTTGGGAGTCAAACTTATAGATTCTACATAAGGAGGAATAGTGGTGACTAATGGGTTTGAATCATCACTAATCTCATAGGTGAAAGAGAAGAAAGACAAGGTTCCGATTTTGCTCGATTTGAAAGTGAATGTTCATAAGCAAAGAGTATTGACTTTTGAACAAGGGGGAGATGTTGTGCTGAAGTGTCAAGGTAGATTGTATGTACCATGGGTGGACGGACTCCAAGAGAGGATCATGGAGGTGTCTCATAGCTCCAGATATTCCAATTATCCAAGTTCCACAAAGATGTATTGCAACTTGAGAGAGGTATATTGGTGAGAAGGCATGAAGAAGGGCATTACCGAGTTTGTTGCCAAATGCCCAAATTGCCAACAAGTGAAAATAGAACATCAAAGTCCAGGAGGTTTAGCTCATAATATATAACTTTTGAAATGGAAGTAGGAGATGATTAATATAGACTTCATCACAGGCTTGCCAAGGTGTCGTAGGCAACATGATTCTATTTGGGTAATTGTTGATAGAATGACAAAATCAGCCCATTTTTTATTGGTAAAGACCACTCATTCGATGGAGGATTATGCTAAGTTGTACATTCAAGAAGTAATAAGTCTTCAGGGAGTTCCGATCTCCATTATTTTAGATAGAGGCACACAATTTACTACTCAGTTATGGAAGTCTTTCCAGAAAGGTTTAGGTTCAAAAGTGAACTTAAGAACTGTTTTTTATCCTCATATGTATGGAAAAGCAGAGCGTACTATCCAGAACTTAGAGGGCATGTTGAGAGCTTGTGTGATCGATTTCAAGGGAAATTGGGATGATCACCTACCTCTCATTAAGTTCGCTTATAACAATAGCTACCATTCAAGCATCCAAATGGCTCCATATGAAGATATTTATAAGAGAAGATGTAGGTCTCCTATTGGGTGGTTCGAGGTTAATGAAGCAGGGTTGATAGGACCAGATCTAGTTCACCAAGCCATGGAGAAGGTGAAGATGATTGAAGAGAGATTGAAGATGACACAGAGTCGTCAAAAGTCCTAACCAGATGTGAGGAGAAGGCCATTGGAGTTTGAAGTGGATTACTGGGTGTATATAAAAGTTTCATCCATAAAGGGTGTTATGAGGTTTGGTAAGAAGGGAAAGTTTAGTCCCCAGTTTAGTGGACCTTATAGAATATCCAAGAGAATTGGCCATGTAGCATATGAGTTGGAACCACCACAAAGTTAGCTGAGGTTCATCCCGTATTTCATATCTCCTTGTTGAAGAAGTGCATGGTGATCATTATTTGATTGTACCTATAGAAAATGTTGGGATTAAGGATAGCTTATCTTATGAAGATATTCCGGTTTAGATTTTAGATCGCCAAATTTGCAAGTTGAGAACAAAAGAGGTTGTGTCAGTCAAGGTCCTTTGGAGGAACCAATATGTTGAAGAAGTGACTTGGGAAGCTGAAGAGGATATGAAGAAGAGATACCACATCTCTTTGAATCCAGAGAAAATGTTGATCAAGATATTAATTCTCTTCTTAGTACTTTATGAACTATGAGTAAACATGATTATTATTTGTTTTTGGATGGTTAAGTGTTGAACTTGACGTTGCTATTCTTAGCATAGTGAGAGAAATCTCATTCGAGGATGAATGTTCTCAATGGGGAGATATTTTAACATCTCATAATTGTAATAGACAAGAATAAGCTAAGAAACTAAAATTTATCATTTTTTTGAAAGAATAGGAAAAATCTGAAAAAATTTATTAAGTTAAGAAAGTGAGTTTTGGTCATTTTTAAATGACCATAACCTCTAGTTCGAGATGAGTTATAGTTAGTTCTTTATATGGTTGAAATTTCCTTGGAAAGATCTTTCCAATGGCGCCATGTTTGCACGATTTCAATATCATATGAGGGAGATATGCCTTTCAGAAGTTGTGTTATTGAATTAAAAAAAGTCCAATCTGGATTTTAATAAGGATAAAGTAGTCTTTCCACCCAACTACCCTAATCCATTTCAAAGGCTTAATAGGGGTAAAATAAGTCTAGTGTCACTTTTAGAAAAGTTATTCACACTTAGGACTTGGGAGAAAAGAGAAGAGGAGAAAGAGAAGGGAGAAAGGTCAAGAACGCTAGGGCTTCACAAATGGAATTCGTCGGGGGTGATCCTTATCAAGGTATGTGAGATCTTTCTGTGTTGGATTAGTTCACCCATACGCCAACTTGATTAATTCAGCGTGGTCTATATCATGCCAGCTATAGCAGTCCTAGGGAATTTGTTCGGTGTCTCGGAGTTGTAATCTTCCTATTAATGATTGTGACAGCTTTTATAGGATATGTACTACCTTGGGGTCAGATGAGCTTTTGGGGAGCTACAGTAATCACAAGCTTAGCTAGCGAATTTTTAGTAGATTGAATGATGAACATTGAAGTTCTTGAATAAAAATTGTTGAATTCTTGTTAGTTGAATTGTAGTATGCTTTTAGTTGATTTGGTTCGTGTTTTCGGGTTATTTTTCTTGTCCGATCTATTGTATATGTATTATTTTTAAGCCATTACATTGATTTATATTTTGTGTTTAAGTCTTTTGCTGAGTTAAGTGAGCTAGGCCAAAGGTTAGCTCAAGGCCGACAATGGTCATTGGGTGCTGGCCACATCCAGGATGTTGGCTTAGGGCGTGACAATCAAACCTTGCAATCAATAGAAGAAAATATAAATTTATAGATTCTATGTAATATTACTGCATTAACATATAAGAGTTTATGATAAATCGATAGAATAATAGATAATAAGTACCATAAATACCTGGAAAGTTTTTTATAAAGCACACAAGGCATTATTCTACTCATTAAATTTTTTTTAGTTTGGTCAAATCACTCTTCTTCTTCAAACAATTCAATGCTAGGCCAAGCATCTCTTTCTTAATAGATAATTCGAAGAAAGTTAAATCAACCACTATTTTGATTTGGTTTGAACCCATTTTATTCAATTATCCCTTTCCAACAGCACCGACCACACGAAACAAATTAAAACGCACTTTAACTTTTTTTCATTTCATAATTGATTACATCTGAAAAATCATATCAACCTTTCAATAGTGATGGTTTTGTTCTTGGTCACACTAAAATATAAAAATCCACAATATTAAAAGACTTTGCTCATTTTTTATTCACGGGGTGCTAACAATTCAACCTTGTAATCGAAGCAAATTGGTTTAAGTTCAAACAAGTTGACTTACCGTTCACATAGAACTAGATGTCATATATCTTTTTTTATTCTCCGCACATCTCAACAACTTATAACTAATCTTTTATTTATTGAATTTAAAATGCTTTGACAAATGTCTCAAGTGTTCAAAATAACTTTGCGTGGAATCAATATAGAGCTATTTAAGCAGAATTTTTCAAATGTGAACACGGTAAATCGTCACCTTACTCTTACAAAAAAATTCTAAAGCGATCAACTTCTTCAGCTTTACGTTTCTTACTAATGCAAGCCGCAGAAACAGATCCTTTAATGAATTTGTATCTTTAGCAATACAATTATAAGCAAAAATAAATTTGTAGTGATTAATTTATCCACCACTAGTCTATTAACTAAAAAAGAAAACTACTATATCAAACATTTAAAGCAACCAACCGTACTATTAGAAAGAGAGAATGCAAAAACAGT